TGTAGATCGTATAATATAAAATGGAGAAAGAGAAAGATAACTGGTCAATAAATTCGCTGAAACAAATAACACACTGCTTATGTGACATAGACGTAAATATAAAATACGATAGTTAAATAAATAATTGATTAAATTACAAGAAACTCAATCATCAACGCGAGGTTTTGGATGGTCTTAGTTAGCACATACGAGGTCGATAATGTGTCAAGCTATCGCTTGATTAATCGCTTGATTAAAGGTCGCCAGCCAGAGAACCTTTAGATTACCATCGCCTATACTCGAAGCTAATTAACTCTCGACATGCACGACAAATCAATCGAGTCTTTCAACCGGCCTTAAATTGGATCCATAGAGAAGCACACGCGAGAGGATATTGAACCGAGGATGAGATGACAAAGTCTACATGAATATAGACAATGTGTGTCAACTTCCTAAAAAAACTTTGTGTATTATAAAAATGACTTGATTACCACGGCGTTGAAATATTTTTTATATGTATGAATTGTAATTCTATTAATATATATTAAAGTTATATTTCTACAATATGATAAAAGCGAAATCAATTCATCAGATGTAATCAAATAGAATCTTATTATTCTAATAAGAAGTAAAACAAGACTAGGAATCAAAAACGTAGGTGCGTGACATTAATAATATATTATAATAAAAATTTTGTAAAGTCACTTATCTTACATACAATAAGAAGCGTAAAAATATATATTTAAAATGACTCGAGAACGTTTCAACTCTGCTCTGATTGTGAGTCCTTTTCAAAGTTAAATAGGAAAAACATTCTTTCTATAGGGAACTTCTTTCTTTATTCAGTTAAGTTGTGTTTTAATAATATTATGTTCTAGTTATGTTAGAATAGATAGTTTCTCGCAATTATAATGTATAATTTTCTTTTAAATTATAGAAATATTTAACATTAAGGAACTTTAAAATTCTCTCTATTAAAAATAATTGTAGCAAATAATTTTGTTAAAAATTTTGTTCACAAGAATCAACTATATAGATTCAGTCATTTCAATTCCCGCCAAACATCCTTAAAGAATTATGTTTTGTTTTTTTTCTAATATACAATACCTTTTATATTTAAATTTGTTTAATCAACTTTTTTGAATAACCGAAAGCGTGTAAAAACAACGTGCAAAAAGGTTAAATTAACAGGGCAACGAGATAGATTAAATTTACGAAAAAGAACATAGGATGCGTTTTCCTTCTATAGAAATCGCAAAAGCTCTCTGACGCCGGCACTTTATACTACGGCTTAACTACCCTTTGATATTATCTCCAACGGTACCTCTACTTTGTCTCTACCAACGACTCTTTACGACCGTAACCTCTGGTCTTCAGTACTAATACAGAATCGAGGTTTGATCTCTTTGAGACGAAAAATACGAGCTAATTGGCGTATATTCCACCGCGGTAGCACCAGGGCGTTCGTTAGTCACGATATTCCTAGGAGACGAATCCTGGAGAATCGCTCCTCTTTGAGACCGTAATTATTGTCTTTCGTATTATTTCCTTTCGTATTATTACCCCCAGAGAGGCGACCATGCGACTCGGCCGATTCGCGACGATAATTACTATCTGTTTCGTCTCGTGTTTTCTCTGGTAAAAATCTCGTATACTTTTCTTGGTTCGACAAATTCTTCATATGCTGTGAAATATATTCCTTTCATATAATTTCCATGCAATTATCACAAACGAATATGACGGATATGACGAGATTTCGCATTTCCGAGCGTTGCCAAATAGTTCTCTCGATGCATTTCAACGATTCTTTACATACATGTGTAATGCGTAGTATGGACTTGTACATCTGTATGTTCGCGCACGGTGGTATGGTTCAAAATGTACTGATGTAACTACGCTAAACACCGCCTAATGAACGCATACGGGCGGCTCTTTGGTACAAAGGTCCTCTCTCTGCTTTATATAAAGCACAAGTGAGTTATTTACATTGTGGTCGACAGAATTTCAAGCTGCGCGAGGTTCTAATGAACCTTTACCTCCTCCACCCATCTTTCACCGCCATCATCATCTCCCATTGCTACACACATCGTCTAACCGAACGGCTTCATTCGGATCCGTCAGTGTATCCGCTCGTTAATTAATTAAAATCCGAAAGCGAAATCCACATCGTCGCGAATATTTTAGATACCTCGAAAGCTTTATGAAGAAAATACTTCAAACTTCCTGACGCATCCCCATCCCATCCTTTATTTGGTCCGCGTCTACGGTCACCCCCGGGGAACGAGGATTCATTGCGAATAGCTGTAGAACCTTCGCCGCACGAATATTTACGAAGGGTGGTCACGAATACGGCAAAAAAAGGAGTATTTAATGAAATGTACGTACCAAGAAAGAAAGAGAGGGAAGATTAGAAAACGAATGCCATGGAAATCATAAAAATACCATGAACCAGAAAATCGTAGAATCTCAATGATCAGCGTTTAATCACTGCGCGTACAATTTCCCTCGATGCACACGCTGACGCGTATATTTTTTGCGGCTGAAGCTACTCACTTATAATTAATAGGTTCGCATTGCATATGTTCAGGTTTTATATATTCATATACAGTTTTATATATTCATAAGTCTGAAAATCAAATAAAATCGACAAGATAAAAGTAGTCCTACAGTATATATGATAGAAAGAATTAGAAAATTATAGAGTTATATTATAATAGTTGTTATAAAATTATTAAAAAATGAAACTATTAATTTTATCGTTGAAAAATATATTGTGTAATATGAGAAAGAAAGAGAGAAATTTATTTTTCTATTAAAATTATTATAATTGAATCAGATATTAATCTTTTTCATATGCATTATTTTATATATACACATGTGTACATATTAAATAATTTTAAAAACATTGAAAGCAAAATCTTATTTTACAATTCCGGTAGGATGTAAATTTCTTCGCATAACAACAGAACAACAATATAATATGCAACAAAATTATGATGATACAATCCTAGACTTATGAATACTTCGACAGTTGCAACAATCACTTTTCTAAATAATCTTCAATTCTCTAATCTCTATTCATTTTCATTCTTTTTACAGTTCATTAGTTTCTCTTTCTCTTTTTCCTTCTCCTTCTTTTTTCTCTCTCTTTCTCTTTTCTAGTATGCTTGAGATTAAAATCTTTAACAACTATAAGTTATATTTATATCCACCCAAGTAATTACGAATATGAATCTTGACAAATCTTAAAGCATGAAATGTTTTATTCGACAAATTATAACTTAAAAAATTTCATAAGTATTAGTTATTATCAAAAAAATAAAATTATTGTGCGTGTATGCGTTTGCGTGAAGATTATAAATCGATTTCGTTAAAATCGTGACATATTTGTTCTTATTCTTTAAGATATTCTTAATTGTTCTTATTCTTTGAGATAATAATATATTTTAATTGATCCATTTATATAACCAAAAGATAAATTAAAAGCTGTTGTCTCTATATATTTCCAATACAAATCGAACGAAATGGAAACAATTGCACAGTAATTAACTGTAACTAGTTAAAAAAGTTTGCAAGATGCTGATAAAAAATCAAATGTCAACAACCATTTTTTTTCTAACTTTTTCTGACAGTGCTTATTAATGACGATTTTTATCTAACTAAGATATCAATTTCCATGATTCAATGCAAACGAAAAGCATCTTTTAATTAGACTGGAATTTTACTTAGACCGAGAGATTAATACGTTCCACGAACGATTCTTATCAATTTTAAATATAATATTGTAAAACAAATAAAGATGGAATAATAAATTAAAAAATATACTATGTATAATATGTGTTTGTATGTGTGTTTAACGAAAGTTAATTCGGAATCTTTTATCATAAATTTAATTAAATATAAATATTTTATTAAATATTTATTATTAATATAAGAATTTTACATCTTGGGCCGAGAGAAATATTTAATAAAATATTAATATTTTATTAAATATTTTTTTTGGCCTAAAAATGTAAAATTTTTATAGTGTAATTACCTTTTTATGTCGTATATTCCATCTTCATTACTTAGCTTTTCAATTATCAAGCTCAACTGTTATGCGCGCAGTTTGCGGCGTCCCGATAAAACCGCCCTCGAAAATCCCCAGCCTGGCGAACACCAGCTCCGAAAAATACTCCGACCACGAAGGCTTAACATCTCGGGGGTGGTATTATCCGCGAGTGGTGGCGGCCAAATCCCCCGGTTCTGCACGAACCAACGCTTGACTGAAGCAGATTGTTGGAGGAGATCAGCGAAGTGGGCAGCAACGACCCTGCGCTTCCTGGTTAAGTTTAATCAGCCGTAGCTATCCCGAGCCGTTTTACTATCCACTGTACTTTGATGCGAGAGACACACTTAATGGCACCTATCCTCGCGAGGAATTGATGCGATTAGAAACTCACTGTAAAATCTGCCGTTAAACTATGCGACAAAGTTGTGCGCAGTGTCGTCGGATGAATAAGCACGCATTAATAAACGCACCAGACGAGTTCGAGAAGCACGATCCTGATATATCGTCGTTGCATAAAGTTTTACAAAACTTATGGAGACCACTACACGATCGAATTATCGCTATAGATATTTGCTATGCAAATAATTTGGGCGACATATGCAAATAAGGATCAATTTCGAAATATCAATTCTTCATTGTATTATTTCTATTATTATTTGTATTTTATAAGAGACAAACTATATGTGCATGTGAGTGTATTTGTACGTGTATGAGTAAAATTGTGTATTAGATATATATAAAAGTAAAAAATTGTAACACTTAAAAGTATTAGAAAATAATTGAAAAATCATCGAGATCCATTTAACACATAAATAATTGTGTAGTAGAAATACCCTTATTTTTATGAAATATATGTTACAATATTAGTAATTAATTATACTTTATATAAAAAATGTAACGAAGAAAAAAGTCTTGAAATTGATTCTTTCTTGCAAATATAAATTCAATTAAAATTTTTGAATGTACTCACTTTTGTTGATTATTATTCGCAACGGGCATAGGAGTCGGCACTCTCGGAGGTGGAACTGGTATAGCTTTTCTTCGACCTCCACTAGTTTGATGTACCGTTGGTGTTACTCTTCCAGTTGGTGCTATTCGACCGGCAGTTCGTGGTCTTTCTGTCCGCATCTCCATAATATATATCTATAAAAAATGAAATAAAATATATGGTTATTTTCAAGAAAATATATTTTTTATTATATAATATAGAATTGCGATATATTTATATTCTTATTATTATTTAGTTATTATTAAATCAATTATTCTTATTATTTAGTTATTATTAAGTCAAATAATTATAGATACTTCAATAAAAGTTAAGTGTATTATTTGAGAAAAAATTAAACCAAATAAAAAAACCGTCAGCCATCAAAAGTTCGACATAAAAGTATCGTTTATCATAACTTTAACAGTACGAAAGATCACAGAAATGATAAACTTGAAAAAGAGTGAATGTTTGAAAAGGACTGACAAGAAAAACGAAAAAATGACTACCAGCTGGTATGATTACTAACGTTAAAACTTCCACTTCGTAGTATGTAGTCAGCTTCACAGTTTGCCTCTCTCTTGTGAGTCTGTTTCCCTTCGTTTATTCAAACTAGTTTAACGCGCCAAACAGGTCTGGATACGATTCAATAGCGTTACCATTAATTCTAGGAATATTATAAAATATATACGAAGAGCAAAAGATATTTTTTTGAAAGAAAAAGTCAAATCAATACACGTATGCGATGATATATTTTATAATTTTACTCTATTTCTAAATTTATCAAAAATAAATATGAAAAAATATAAAAATAAGCGCTAAACTATGTATAGAATAAATATTCTGATATTATTCTGATATTATTCTTTCACATATCTACTATTGTACAACCAACCGCAAGAAATATCTTTAAAAAAAGGATGAATGGTCCATGATAAAATTGTGGTATGTACTGAAGGAAATTCGCGAATGTGTGTGTGATGCTTCCCATATTCAACCATCCCCTCGCATGACAGTCGGAAGAAAGAAATGCGCCTGTATACAATTTTGCCGGTAGTGCAACATTGTTTTCGCGGATGTTTTAGCATGGACGATGCAACAACGGCAAAGAAGACAAGCAGAAAGAAGGAAGGGTAGAAAACGATGGCCAGTGTGATCATTATTTCTCTACGTGTATAGTCTACGAGATGGGGATGCCGGTGAAACAATACTAGCAAGGTTTAGTTTAAATATTCAGCCTCCGGCACGGATACGCAACGTTCGCGCTCGCGTGCGCATGAATGCAACAACTTGAGACATATCCATGTAGAAAGATAAAGATACAAGAAGGATACTTCCTGAGTGAGTTTAATGGACATAAAAGCTACGTAAAGCTTCGAGACAATAATATTAAAAAATTATTATAAGGTAAATTATATACATAAAGAGAGAAAGAAAAAAGCGAGAGAGAAAGAATGGAAGTTAAAGTCTTAAAAATTATCTTTATTCAAATGAAATATGAGATTTTTAATATCCTTATTTTCTTTTTTATATTTCTCTTCTTTTTTATATTTCTTTTCTTTATTGCTATTTATCTCAAAAAATTATAATAATCTATCTCGAAATTATTAAATACGATAATGAATAATTCGTTTTTTTTTACAGAAAATAAATTAAACGAGAAATAAAAAATAAACAATTTCTGCTCGCAGAAAAGAAAATATTTTTTATGCCTTCAAAATATATATTTAGTTACTAAATTATTTGAAAAATTTTTTAGTTTTGCACTAAAATTGACTTCCTAGTTCATTACGCATACTCTTTTTCTCTGTTTTTCGCAATTCGCGCACCTCGCATATTTGCGTTCGTGCACGGGAATAAAAAAGATTTCACGATTGCACGGATTCGCGCGCAACAAAATTTATTTCGTCACGCGAGCGGAGGCAAAATATCGCGATGTCAAGCGTCTGTCGGAGACGAGCCAGGAAAATAAACTCCCCCGCGAGAGCGACACAACCGTACCACGCCGACGGTTTCACAATGGGAAGCATCTGCTTAGCAAATTGCGAAAAATAATAACGTTTGCGCCCAAATCCGTGGCCTGGAGCACCGTAGGAGTCTGCGAAGCTACCGCGGTATACGTCGTAACACAATAACGCCCACTCGTAAAACTACGAACACGCAGATCGACGAGGGTGAATGCGAAAGCGGACGAGACGAGGGTGAGAGGTGCAAAACGAGCGCCGTACAAGCTCCCCTTCGCGACAGTGCACTCGCGAAAACAATATGTCACGCATATACACGGAGAATCATATACACACATACTCGCTCAGTTCGTCACACGTGACATCGAATCACTGAGCCGAAGGCGATTCCGGGACTTCTTTTGTGATCTTCACTTCCGTACCTTTGACGGCAAATGCATCGCCATCAACCATGTGTATATCCTGTCCAGAATACCATCGAGAACTTCGAAGTTTCGAATTAGTCGTCGCGATCGATTCGCAATCATTAGACATTAAAAATTTTCGAATTTATCGAATTTACCGAACTTCTTTACTTCGCAAAAATATGCTATAACTTAATGGATATTTTATTTTTGTTAACATTTTTTTCTCATGATTGTGCACAAAAATTAATAATTTTATTGTGTATATTTTATGTTAAGAATTTTAAATAATATTGTTTTAAATAATTCCATAATTTTAAATAATTCTATAAATTATTACTTAAAAATGTTATAAGCTCTCTAAAATACTCGTATATTAAATTAATGCACTCACATATTATGTGAATAAAATTCTTTTATATCGAAAGAAAAACAAAGAAGAAGAGCAAGATAATGCTTTTAATATCATCGATAAGAATTTAATAGATCATTCGTATTGTTATTATAAACCAGAGGAGTATGCGGAGAGAGTACTCATCTCAATTATTGATTCTCGTATCGCTGGCATTCAATGGAAACGCGCGGGCCAATGTTTAATGCGACATAATACGACATAACGGCATGACTAATTCATGCCATTATCGTTGACGCTAATCGCCATCTATCTGCGAGGATAATGAATACCGCAAATTAATAACGTTCGATTGACACATAACGTCCGAGCTTCATCTGTCGAGCGATGTGCACATTGTATTCCTAACAAGAGCACGCTTCCCAACCCCTTTAACTCTTTCACTGGTACATGTGCATTGTTGCATGTCGATCGTTACGCGTGCATCATCTTCTAGAGAATCGAAAAACGTCATTAACAAAAGAAGATACTTCCAATTTGATAGGCAGAATCAAATCCAAATAATTACTCATGTTTAATAAAAATGAAGATGCGATGTTTAATCAATTTATACATCATAATAGATTATTAATTCATGCATTATCATTGATATTTATCGTTGTGTAATAAATTAATAAATGTAATAAATTAATTTAATTCGCAGTAATTTTAACAATAATGTACTTTATAGACTTCCAATTTTTTTACATATATTCGCATTTGAAAATTATCTTCAAAGAATACGAAAGCACTATTAAGAAAAGAAAATTATCTATTATTATTCAAAGGAGAAATCATTTCTATTTGTTGTCAATAATATTCAATACATGTAGAATTGTACATTAGTTTGATTATTTTATGCATTATCATCGACACTGATCATTACAAGTGAATACGACAAATTAATAACAGCCAATTGATATATAATATTCCTAATCAGAATATATTTCGCAGTCTCCTAATTCCTTTATATCTACATAGTCGTTCATTAAGCACGCGCTTTCGGAGATTGGAAAAAAAGTGTCATTAACGAGTGAGGAAAAAAAGACGAAGAGGAAGAAGATAAATTTCGTTTTTCGCACGAGAGGGAGAAGGATGATGCATATTCAAAGGAGAATTTATCGACGATATTTCTCGACCGGGCAATGTCGACGTCGCGCAGCATCGGCTTCTGTCGATTCCTATTAATCATCGGCGCACAACTGCGCGTACCCGTATCAACACGCGACCGAAGATACATGTCGGGAGTTTCTCATGGCGCGATGCGATCGCCACATGTGACCACCGTCCGACGTTCTCATAGCGATCGCATATCGAAGCATCACGTGCACGACACGCGTATAACTGGCCTGTTTTTTCTAATATGTATCTCTAGATCACACAGAGGAATACAACTAAAAAAAATGGTAAATTTTCCAGCCTTTAATTCCCAAAAAACCAATATTAATTTCCAATGGATTTTAAAAAGTTTTGACTTATAATATATCTTATATATACGTAATAAAATATATACACAATATGAGTGCATGTATTATAGATATTTAATATGAAAAAGAGAGAGATTATAGCATTTAATTTGAATGCGAGAATTCAAATTAAAAAGAAACAATTATTCGCGATTTATAATTTTAAGATATTTTTTTACAATTTAATTATTTCATGTTCTATTTAGTATTCTATTAAATTATTTAATATATACAATATATATATATATATATTTTTTTTAATTGTAGATATATATTCTATATATTTACAATTTATCTATATTAATATTCTTTAGATAGTTTCTTTCCTTGTGAATACATAAAAATAATCTATAATGTAACTTGTATCTACATGATTAGTATTTTTCTATATTCTTTGATGTCATTTTACTTGTATTTATCGCGCGCAGAAAGTTTCCCGTAAACTCACGCACACATTGTATATGCGTATGGTTTCCCCATCCCCCCGATGTTTGTTTAAGCAAGTAAATGATCTATGTATCTTGTCCCGAGACGCGCGCGCGAGCGAACAGACTTTATAAATTCGGGACAAATTAGTTTATCTTCGGGCGATGTTTACTATACACTAAAAAGCCAACCGAACCGCACAGCCCACCCACACACAGCTATATCAAAGGCCCCGCTAAAAATATAACGCGTTTCTCATCACGATAGTCCTTCCCGCTTTTTCTAAACTTTGTCTCTCTTTCTAGTTCAGGAAGGTTCAGGAAGTTGATTTAGAGTATGGGAAGCATAATTGTACACGAATATTAATAATAATTTTTTAAAATAAAGTCAAGAAGAATAATTAATAGCAAAGTGTATCGGTTGGATGCATTTACATTAATTGGATATGCACTGGTGCACATTAATACGCACTCACTTAATTTTCTGTATCCGGTTGATATTAAAAAT